GCTAAATCAACTCAGCTCGACGTTCTGATCATATAAGTATACATTTTCATGGGTCTATCTCTTTTTGTTCTGGTACTTACAAACATCGGACCAAAGTTATAATACCATTTCATGCTCATGAAAGGTATAAAAATAAATTATTAATTATTGCATATGTCGACATTGAACCTGCGACAGACGGAACAATAGTCGACTCTCAACCTACTTGCACTTTTTGTTGAAATCAACGAGCTTTTTTTTTATAAATATTAACACAGAACGCAAGGCAGCTTTTACTTGCTAAAACTTGTAAATTATAAAATTATCTTGACCCAATTTGTTTACCCATATTTTATCAAGAAAACACAGAAAATGGCGGCAAATCTTCTAATTAAAAACTTTATATTTGTTCGAATTTTTAAAAATGCTTATAATTTGCGAAAAATATGTAGTAGAACTCATATATACACACATACATAAGAGCGCATACATATGACAAATTAACACTCATCTAAAAACCACACATATACACATATTTATCTACATATGTACTTACCAATTTCTTTTGGTAGTTTTGGATTTTGTTGAAACCACTCGTTTAATTCATCGATTTCTGCTTCCGCTGCCGCATCGAATTTCATTGTTAATCAAATGTTTTGGTTAAAGAGTAAAAAAATTTATAAACAAATATTTTTAACAGCGCTTAATTATTTGTTCAATTTGCTGAATTTTAAAATCTGCTTGTAGGTAAAATTCTTATTCTTGAGTATTTTTTAATCCTCCAACATTATTTTCGTTTTCTTTCGCCGTGTTGCATTGCTTCCAAGTCAAATTCAAACTGTGTTGAATTACGCGAAGTGCAAATTATTATTCTGTTTTTTAATTTTTCATTTTTACTTTCAATTCATAAATATGTACTTTCAATTCATACATATGTACATATGTATGTTTATAAATAACTCCGTATGTATGTATGTATGTTTGTGTTTGGGTACGCATGTGCCTATTCCGACTTTTCCTTTCGTGTTTGCTTTTTGCGTTCAATTGCACAACTGTCGAATCCAAAGGTTGGCGTTTTGCTAAATAAAATGCTTGAGTTGTTGCGCTTGAGTTGTTTTGCCCGCGAAATTCGGTGCAACGGCCGTTGAATAGCAACAGCGTTTCCCAACCTTACGCGTTTAAAGTAGTTTAGATTTCTGTGTTGTCTATTTCGTTAAAAAAATTGAAGGTTTTTGGATAAATTTTGATGTGAATTAAAGCATTGTAAGTACTCTTTATAACATGGGCCACTAAGTAGGCCCAAAAATATGTAAACCAAACAAATCATTGTGGAACANTAAGGTTTTTGGATAAATTTTGATGTGAATTAAAGCATTGTAAGTACTCTTTATAACATGGCCCACTAAGTAGGCCCAAAAATATGTAAACCAAACAAATCATTGTGGAACAAGACTAAAACATATGAGTTTTTTTTTTTTTTTTTTGAAAACAAACCTCATTTAGAGATCGCTCAGAGAGATTTTAGTTTTACATATGATTTCGTTAATTTTAATGTACAAAAATTGAGTTATAGTTAAATAGTGCTTACTTTGCCGGGTCAGGAAAATGTTGTCTATGGTTTACAACTAAAGGAAGAAGATAATGTTTTCGTTCTTCACTTTGGTAAACGTTTGGTTCTACATATTTTTGGATAAAACAATGTCATTAACGACTTTTATTTTGGAAGANATTTTAGTTTTACATATGATTTCGTTAATTTTAATGTACAAAAATTGAGTTATGGTTAAATAGTGCTTACTTTGCCGGGTCAGGAAAATGTTGTCTATGGTTTACAACTAAAGGAAGAAGATACTGTTTTCGTTCTTCATCTTTGGTAAACGTTTGGTTTTACATATTTTTGGATAAAACAATGTCATTAACGACTTTTATTTTGGAAGACATTTCAAAAAGTTCTTTATATACATACTCCAATGTTTCGTTTCTCATAACTGCATCAAGAAAAGGAATAGTCCTCTGAGTAACAAACGCTTTCAAACTCAAATCTTCGTCCTTAGCCAACTGTAGGCGTCGGGAAAAAATAGTATGTGAGTAATTTCCGATCATCTGTTGATCATTTTATTGGGTAACCGGCAGGCACAGCATCCAAAGCACTGGCAAAAGTTTTGCACTTGCTTATGGAGTTCTACCATGAACATGGCTGTTTTATACCTTGTCGTTGAACAACAGAAAATAGTATTAAAACCCCCTCAAATCGCAGAATAATAGTTCAGTAACAAGGGTTTAGAAAAAGGGTTCTTTAGAAAAAAGTAAGCGCAATAAAGTATTAAAACACGAAATTCTCAAATATGTATATTAAATTTTTCGCTTTATTTATAAACAAATGTTGATAATTTTTATCACATTTAATTTTGCTTTTTACTTATAGGCCAATGAAACAAAGATTCACATTTTTCTTGGTTTTTTGAAAAATCCTTTTAGAACTTCGTCAGACGCTAGAACGGTGAGCCTTTCTTGACCTGTTGTAGTATATCTCAGGCGTGAAAAACTTCATTCAGGTATTGAAACGGGCAGAATATGGAAATATATAACTTTAAAAAATTTTTACTTTTTAAATCTAATAAATTTAATAATAATAATAAATAAAACAAATATTTTCTACATGTCGATGGTCCTCTAAATTGACGACACACTTCCGTCGACTTTCCCCAAAATCATGAGAGGGTGTTTGGCTTTCATAGGGCCCTCTCTCACGATCNTGGGTTTAGAAAAAGGGTTCTTTAGAAAAAAGTAAGCGCAATAAAGTATTAAAACACGAAATTCTCAAATATGTATGTTAAATTTTTCGCTTTATTTATAAACAAATGTTGATAATTTTTATCACATTTAATTTTGCTTTTTACTTATAGGCCAATGAAACGAAGATTCACATTTTTCTTGGTTTTTTGAAAAATCCTTTTAGAACTTCGTCAGACGCTAGAACGTTGAGCCTTTCTTGACCTGTTGTAGGATATCTCAGGCGTGAAAAACTTCATTCAGGTATTGAAACGGGCAGAATATGGAAATATATAACTTTAAAAAATTTTGACTTTTTAAATCTAATAAATTTATCTTACATTAAAAATTATGTGTATGTGCTATAAAAGATTGAACTAATCTGCAAAGTAAAAAACAAATTTTTTCTACATGTCGATGGTCCTCTAAATTGACGACACAATTCCGTCGACTTTCTCCAAAATCATGAGAGGGTGTTTGGCTTTCATAGGGCCCTCTCTCACGATCAATATTTATTGACGTGAGCCAAGTATCGCGATATTTATTGACCGTGTAGCATGCAATATTGATGGATCGTGATCCATATCGCAAATTTTCTAGAAATTTTGAAACCTGGACCGCGGATCGCAATACCGTCAATAAATATTGCATCTTGCACTCTCATAATGCCAACATCGAATACGTGTGCGTTCTGTTTTCGCTCTCGGCGCTTAAAACCTTTCAAAACAAATTGTATTTGTATGATCAGTGTGAAAGTTTAAAAGAACGCCAAAAGCCATAGGGGCGATTGACTTAATTTTTAAATAGGGTTTTCTTTTTAAGGTGAGTTCTACATAATTTAAGATTTTAGAATCTTTTAACATGTTCAACTGATTAGTAGTTCATGAAATATTAAAGTAACTTTTTTCCTAAAAGCAAATTAAAAAAAAAAAANCGACTTAAATTTTTAAATAGGGCTTTCTTTTTAAGGTGAGTTCTACATAATTTAAGATTTTAGAATCTTTTAACATGTTCAACTGATTTGTAGTTCATGAAATATTAAAGTAATTTTTTTCCTAAAAGCAAATTTAAAAAAAAAAATGTCTCCATGTTGCACTAATAAAAGATTTATGTTTATTTCAAGATAACTATATTTTAAACTGTAATACTAAATACTCAACCCGACACCGTCCGACATTTTGTTTAAGATGCATACAAAAATTAAGAAAGATAAAACGATTTTTCGTTATCTATCAATCACTTTTCATACTAAAATAGATGAGTTCGGAAATGACTGTGTAAAACTATGTCCGTGGTATCGTTTGCCAATTGCTTTTCACAGAATTTTAACGCAGGCCAAAGAAATAAGAGCTGATTCCATTTTATCAATCATCACGGCGCACTATGGCACCTCTGCCNCAAATTAAGAAAGATAAAACGATAGATGAGTTCGGAAATGACTGTGTAAAACTATGTCCGTGGTATCGTTTGCCAATTGCTTTTCACAGAATTTTAACGCAGGCCAAAGAAATAAGAGCTGATTCCATTTTATCAATCATCACGGCGCACTATGGCACCTCTGCCTAAAAAACGCTGCGAAACTCACAAATTTCATGAAAGCGACCGATCAATTAAAGTCAAGCCACCTTGGATGAAAAAAACGCGTCTGAGCAGATATTTCAGTAAATATTGGATCCAAATTGTTGAAAGTTAGTATGTGGAGTAGAATTTTTGGTAAAAAATAATATTATTATGAAATTTTTGAAAAATGGGCGTGACCCCGCCCACTTATGATGAAATGCTGTATCTCAGTAGCCGTTTCACCAAACGTTACCAAACTCGGTACTAGCCTCGTCTAGGATCTAGCTACCCTGCAAAAATCGTTGGACCATGTAGTCTATTTGTGGTATATTGGAGTACTTACAAAAGTGTTCCTCTGTCATGCTGTAGCGGACCAACTCGTGTCTCTGCGCCAGCTTATTGTTTGTTACCCGATCACTGCTCGTGTTTTAACGAAATGTGATTGAAGTTGAGCATTTGAAAGCACATTTACATGTCTGGCTGTAGCTGAACGTTTAGAGATGCTCGCTGTTAGTTGTTAGCTCCCAGCATGTTCGGGTTCGAATGCCGTCAGAGGCAACATTTAATTTTTAATTTTTGATTTGGGTTTTTATTAATTTCGAAAAAGCATCTGAGAAGTGAAGAACAAAAGCATGTATAAAGGAAAAAATATAACAACAATGCCTTTGTTAATATGTTGGAGTAGTTTTGTGCTACTCTGGTGTAATGCAGGGGTGGAGTATATGGTCCTGCCCTAGGACATCGCAATGTTAATTAGACCATATATTTTATATGAATTGTGGTTAATTTTGGAGTACTCTTTGGAACTTAGGGAGTACTCTTTACAAGCATGCATGGAGTAGTCGCGATTTTTGCAGGGTAAGGCATCTGTTGAAAATCTTTGAAATCGGGCAATAACCACGCCCAACTGCCATATAACGGTAGTTTACAGAAACACGAAAACTGCGATGAACTAGTAACTACTGAAGCTAATGGACTTAAAATCGATGATTGCAATAATCCCTTAGCATAAAATTAGATTATTATAAATTTTTGGACAGAAAAGCAATTCGTTGAAAATTATTCAATTCCGACCAAAATTACACCCGCTTCCCGTATAACGGTAAATTTCAGATATACGAAAACTCCGATATTTGAATAACTGAGGACGATAATTTACTCAAGTTAATAGTAACAACAATCTCTTAACGATAAATAAGACTCCTATAGACTTTGGGAAGTGGGCGTGGCACCGCCCACTTTATGACTACAAAACTGTATACCGGCAACCACTTTGTGGATTTCTACTAAACTGGGTTCAATTATTTCATTAAGTCTAACGGCGATTTTGTTTCTACAAAAAATGTTGCCTTGAGATCGAAATAACTGAGCATATTATAGAAAACGTTTAAAATCGGAAAAAACCCCTCCTCATCATGCGAAGGTAATTGAGAAAGTTGAAATTACGATATTGATACCTGCGCCGGGTATATAAAGTTCCGTTTCGCCAGACTTAATACTTCTTTACTTTTTAATGAATTTTAAAGAACCATGTTATTGTGGCACCCTGTTATTATATTTTTTTTAAGCTTAGATGTTCAGATGCACTTTAAACCTTTACCGAAAGCAATGCGTCTACCGAGTTTGGTAGAGGTTAGCAAGTGGTTACGGAGATAAAACTTTTAATTATAACTGGGCAGCGCCACGCTTGACCAAAATTGTTAACTTATCCTATTTTATATTTGAATACAACATTATTAACTAACTTTCATGAATTTTGCTTCAGTATTTATTGAAAAATTTTGGTTTTACACTTTTCAACAATATATCAACTTTTACGATGTATTAGCGGTACTCACTTTCCGTAGCATTTTAGGTGTAAAGTTGC